TGCCAGAAAAAAGAGGATCGACCTATTGATCTATTCCATAGTGTGTGGCGCCTTCCAGCATGGTGCAGACAATTTGATTACACGGGTTTTGTTCCGGTTCCCGATGAGCAACAATGGCCGACGGTCAATTGGAATATCATTCCGAATTATGAGCATCTTGTTTTGAATGCAAGACTGAGACGAAAACAAAAAAGGATACATAGAATGCAAATGGATTATAGGGCACGCCGGAGCAAGGGGGAATGTTGGAGATGCAGACAACAAGGTCACGATGCCAATTCTTGTCCTTACTCGCACCCAAGAGTAGATAGAAGACATGTGAATGACAACTCAAATTGAAAGATAGTTAGTGTTCTTGTTATTTGGAATGACCATGTTATTTGGAATCACAACTGATTGTAATATTAACATTGAATTGTTCGGATTGTAATGTTAATATTGAATTGTTAGTGCTGTGATTGTGATGAAAATAGATACTAGTTGTTGATAACAGGTTTTGGGATTGTGCAAAAACAAAATTAGACATTTTGTTTTTTTTTGTATAGGGCTCGGATTTCAAACATCCGAATGTGGGCATTTTGTACTGGGCTCGGATTTTTGAAATCCGAAATAAGCTTGATTTCCTGCACCAAATTATGTGGATTTTATAAATCCGAGTTATCCAGATTTGTACTACATCTGGATTTTGGAATTCCGATGTCAGAAATTCCATCCGGGAATGTGCAATTTTGGGAGAAGCAGGGGAGATTCGGATTTCTGTGTTCCGTATCCCTATATCCGGATTTTGGAAATCCGAGTGTGACGGGGACTATAAAAGCTCGGCCAACTCTTCCCCAAGTCATTTTCCCCAATCCTCCGAATTAAAAACCCTAAAACTACCCCCCTTCCCCGACCGGTGACGAACTTTGCCGTTTGACCGTTCCCCTCCGTCCGACGACCCACCCCCCTCTAGCCACTGCTTCGAAATCCTGATGCCCCAACTCTGAAGCATCCGGCCAACCGACTCCGCTGCCGGCGACTATTTCCCCTCTGGCCGGCGACTAACGCCCCGCTGTCCTGTGACATCCAACTCCTTCGCCCGGCAACTTTGACATTCAACTCCTCCGTCCGGCAATTGTGAAATCCAACTCCTCCGGTCCGAGGCGACTGTGACTTCCAACTCCTCCATCCGGTGACTCCGTAATCCGGTAAGTTTTTTTCTTCCTAATTTTTTGCCTTATTTATTTCTTTATGTCGAATTAATGTATTGATGACTACGAATCCGAGTTCTGTTTTTTTTTTCGTCTTTTTTGAGAATTGTGAAATCCGTATGTATTGGCATTTGATTATGAATTAGTTTAGTTTGTGTGTAATTTCTGATACATTTATGTTGTTGTTTCTATTTACTTTAGTTTAGTTAAGCAATGATTAACACATGTTATGTTGTTGTTGGAAGCAATATTTTATTTTAGTTTAGTTTAGTTTAGTTTAGTTTAGTTTAGCAATAGTTTAGTTTAGTTTAGTTTAGTTTGGAAACAATGTTAGTTCATGTTATGTTGTTGTTGGAAGCAATGATTAATGAATTTGATTATGGGTATGAACCAATGTTAATTACTTGTTGTGTTATTGCATTTGGTTGTGATTTTGTGGTGTGGTTCATGTTATGTTGTTGCATTTGGAAACATTACTGTTCTGAATTTTTTTGGTTATGTTCTTTTTTTTTTTCTATGATTGACAAATTGAATAATGATCTATATTGAAGTACAAATGTTTCTTTGGTTGCCGAATGTAGGATTGTAATGGCTAGCTCATCTAGCTCGCAATATAACCTTAAACATCTTCAACCGGGACCGGTACAAAATAACGTGATATATCTTCAAAAAAACCATAGGTCCTAAGCTGTCTTTGAGAACAAGATCCATAACATTAAAACATTCCGCCTCAAGGGCCGTAGATACGATAGCTCATTTTGGGAGATATACAATGATCATACGGCGTCGGAGGTTAAGGAAATTATTAAGAGAGCCGGTTTTGAGGTGATAATGAATGTAGGCTACAAAAGAGTGGATCTCGGTCTCATTACCGCGTTGGTGGAACGGTAGAGGTCAGAAACCCACACTTTCTATTTCAATTTCGGAGAGGCGACTGTGACACTACAGGATGTCGAGGTCCTCTTTAGTATCCGGGTGGATGGTGAGCCGGTGTACGGGACGACAGTTAGCCGGAGTGCAGAGGAATGGCGGGCGAGATATGAGACTTATTTGGGATTTCGGTCAGCCGCAGTAAATGGCCAATTTGTCAAGATTGGTGTTTTCGAGGAAGAGATGAAACGTGCACTCCCTGATGATTCCCCAGTCGAGCGACTCGAGGAAAGGGCCCGGACAATAATCCTGCATTTTATGAACAGTTTCATGTTTCCTACCAAGACTCAAAACACTGCCAATCTGCAGTTGTTGGCCCAGGTTGAGGATTTGGAGCAGTGTAGATGATATAGTTGGGGATCGGCCCTACTGGCTTGTTTGTACTCTGGTCTGTGCGAGACAATCCAGTACACCATGCACGACATCACTGGCTGTGTATATTTGCTACATGTATGTATTAGTTTTTATTAGGTGTTATAATTATTTTTGTTTTTAACATTGTAATTTGAAGTATTAACTGTTTATATTGAAATTTACTAGGTATGGGCGTATGAGCAGAACGAGAGAATCGCGCCACATAGGTGCAACTAGATTATATATTGGATGAGACCGCTCCATTAGCTCAGCGGTACATATTTCATTTCAAAATAACTCAATGTTTATTTCTATTTGTTTCTGATTTATTTTTTTTACTAAGTAAACTGTAATCCCTTCGTGTTTGTTCATTAAGGTAGGAATGTTCGTACACCTACGGAGACGTCCCAAGGAGCAGCTTGGCACCTTTTAGAGATCAATTAACAATTGCATCTAGGAGATGTAGGTACTTAATTTGGTATTTATATTTATATTGAATTTTTTTCTTCTGGTTATACTATTTAAATAAATTCTTTTCATGCAGTTTCTGTGGCAACCATATACAAGCGTCCTTCCTAAACTCCCTGATTTCTGTAAACAAGGCCAAGCCATTTGGACGACCAGATGTTGGATGTTCTGTTGGGTTGTTAGGGAACCCCACGAGTCACTCAGGGTTGTGAGACAATTTGGATACATACAGGGTGTTTCCCGTGGCCCTATGATTAAAGATCGTGCAACATTTCTTCTCGATCATGCCCACAGTATTTCTTACCTACCTAGCAACAATTGGGTAGATCACTATTCCGCAGTACGTCCTTACTGGAGAAAGAGAGAAAAGTACGTTCTAAAAGATTTGGAGGTTGGATTCCCTGGCCAAACATATGAGGGGTACTCTGAATGGTTCATGATGAATACTGTCAAACTTATATCTAATCCCAAAAATTATGAAGCTAAAGGATACGAGACTTCTTCGAGCCGAGTGAAATATTTTGGGTTTTTAATTTCTTATATTTTCTTTTTATTTTTTTAATCTTTTTATGATTTTTGTATTTTACTTTTTTAATTAACGTTCCAATTTCTTTTCAGGGTGAAGTATTGAACAACATTCGCGTGAGTTCCGAGCAGTTTAGAGATGATAGAGATGAGAAGAATCTCCTAGACAATGAACTCGAGGAGTATTTGAATAAAATCATCGATCAAACACATGCTGCTTTAACCCTGGGTCCAAATGATGAGATTGACATGGACGATACCCAAATCCTAATTGATGAAGAACCAGCTCTGCCCTCACAACCTGTGCCGGGTAAAAAAGCGAAACCGTGACTGAGAGATAAGATTGGAAGAGGAAGAAAGCGAAAGATAGTGATTCCCCCTCGGTCATCGCAAGAACAAAATGGGAGTGACAATTCACGTAATCAACAACGAGAGGGTGAGGCGGCTTCTTCTAGAGGCTCGTACATCCAGGTCCAAACTCAATTTGAATACATTGGTGGACCTAAGACTCAATTTGGTGGAGAGTCGCAACCACAGTCGGGAGTCCTACTTCTCACCATGGGAGAGTCCCAATCCCAACCCCAACCCCAACTGCGTCAACAACAAGGTTCAATACTCACGTATCTTTGGAAGGAAGATAGGATCCGTCAGGAGCCAAATAAATATACTCCAAATGCGTCTAAGAAAAAAGGGAAAAAATGAGCCCGTTGATGTATTTTTACATTGAAAGAAATTTTTTGATTGAAACTTGTTAATCGAATGAAATTTATTGTTTTGTTGCCATTAGATTTCTGTTTTTTTATGTTTCATTGTTGTTGGTGCTGTAAACAGGTTTTGGACTGGTTAAAACCAGTCCAATTTTTTTTTTCAGTTCTGACAAAGATCTGGATTTCACAAATCCGAAGTTCTGCATTTTGTAAAGGACTCGGATTTTGCAAATCCGAAGCAACGCCTATCTGGGAGTTCTAGTTTCTCAGAGAAATAGAGGAGCTCCGGATTACTTAAATCCGACTGTATAAAATTCGGATTTCCTTCATCCGTCTTTAGCTAAAGAGAGGATCCGAATTTATAGAATCCGTTTTAACACATATTCGGAATCCCGTAATCCGAGTTTAGCCAAAAATTATTTTCCAACACTTAAAATTTTTTCATCCCACCGGAAATTAATATTTTAGTAATGAATTCGGATTCAGGAAGTCCGTATTTATATTAATTACACTAAATCTTTTCATTAACTTAATATCTGATTAACATTAAACAAAGTCGGATTTCTGTAATCCGAGACTATACGGATTCGGATTTCAGTCATCCGAATTTTACCCTGATTCGGATTTCTGAAATCCGTGACATATAATTTTGTCCATATAATTTCTGGAAGGTTTTTTTTTTTTTGTTTAGGTCTTTAATGTGCAGATATACTTAAGGAAAAACCTCCTTTATCATATGGGTAATTATTATTTAGTCCTTTAACTAACTGATATTTACTCTTAGGAGCCCAACCTTTTCCAATGTTCCAGAAATTGGCCCAATAAATTAGACTCCTCCCTCCGTCACACTTTCACCATCATCATCAAGCTTTCTCACACATTTTCCCATCTCAAATTACAGCAGTATTAACTTTCGTATTCACCAACTACTTCAACTCGTTTTTTGAATAAGAACCCTTTGTTCAAGCTCCAGATATTGACTTGAAGACTCTAATCAGTATACCTGAATTCTCCTTTTTTGATCGGGAAGAGGGAAGAAGAACTGAATTCAAAGAGAGCCATTGATATTTTTTATTGGATTCGCCGCAGGGTTTTTGGTTTTCTGCATCAAGTTTCAAACTTTATGCAGATTTCATCTTTCTGTGATCTGTAAGTATTTCGTTTCTTTTTTTGTTTAATATGCTTTCTACTAGGTTGCCCACCAAAAGTACCTTTTAATTAACTTTATTTTAGTATTTTTGGCTTAAGGATTAGCATTTGTTTGTAGTGTTTTGGTTCTTGTGAAGTTTTGGAGATTTGGGTTTTTGAGTTATCACACTTTGTTGTTGAGAAAGGAAAGTAGATGTGTAATTACGACTTAGGGAAGACTTGGGGGCAGAAACAATTTTTGTTCTAGTTCTTCAATTTAGTTGATGCTCTAATTTCAAAGCTGTCTTTACAAATTGAAATGCTTTCTCAATCATTTTCTGTTTTATAATTTGGAACCAAAGCACTTAGCACTGAAACTTGAACATTCTGGACACTAATAGTACAATTTTTCGAATTTGTTTTGTTAGTTACATTTGCTTAGTTTGTGGAGATTGAACTGTTACTTGTGCTAAAGATGTGAAAGTGGACAGGGATTCTGAGACCAGATAGTAACGATGTCGAGACCAATGTTGCTGGTGTTTTTGTTGCTTATCCTGATAATAACATCTCAATTTGAATGGAAGCAACAGCTTGGGACTGATGTTGAGTCACCAAATGTATCTCAGAAGCAGCAACAGATTTCGAAAAGAGAAGAAGCTGTCAAAGAGAAGGTAATGGTTTACACCTTGTTGTGCCTGTGGATCTTTATGAATTCTTCCATTCTTGCTTTCCTAATAGCTCTTTGGTTGTCAATGTGGTGGCTTCCAGCTAATAATGGATAGATTTTTGGCTGCTACTTTGCTTCAATTTGTGATGACTTATGGCTTGACAATTCTAAAGCATTTGCAGTTTAGGAGTTACATCTTAAAGCTAAACATATGAAAGTATATTCTGCTATCTTAACAGGTAACATTATAGTGAAACTGTTTTATTGTAAACAATTGCATGTAACGCGCTCCTAATACATCAAACAATAAAATTCTACCTATGTAAAGGTAATTCTGGATGGATAAGGCTGGTATCTGTCAGAAAAGGAAATAACTACAGTTTATAGTTTTCATCATTTGCCTGCAGTTGCCAAAACTTTAGTTTTCATCATTTTTTTCCTACTGTTTTCTACACAACCCAAATAATATTCTCCCTCTGTCCCAAAATTATTGTCCAGTTTGAGATTTCACTTTTAGTACAAGTTGAACTAAATATGAAAATCCAAACTGGACAATAATTATGGGACGGAGGGAGTACTTGTTATATTGCTCGTCTTATTTAAACATACTAGTTTATCTTGTAAAGCTTGTGCGCTATCTGGCCTCAATACTTTTTCTTAATTTAGTGTCCCCTTTGCTTTATGACACCATATGCTCAAGTTATTGTTGTTTTTATAGAAAGGCCAAATCTATTTCAAACTGTTCTGTGACTGGGATGTTTGACATAGCTCATCTTTGTTATACTAAGGAGTTGGAAGTATTGTTTGGTTTAGTGGAGAACTTTTAGTCTTTCAGGACATGATTGTTTCTTCATGGAACTTGTTGATTTGGTGTTTGAATTTCTTGAGATCTGACGACATTACTATTCTCATTCTTGAGCTACCTCAATGGCAACTGCACCTGTTTCCCTTTTTTTTTTTTTTGCATTTTTTCGTGTTTGGTTGCTTGGTGAAGGGAGGACTTCCCCCCCTTTTTTTTGTTTTGGGGGTGTTGTGTGGGACATATGGGTTGCTTGAGTGAGGATCATGCGGAAGTTGGTCTCTATTTGCTGCTATGATATGGTTGTGTTGGTCCGGTGGTTGATGAGTTAGCTCACTAACCATGTTTATAGACCCGTAATCTGGATTTGAAAGGCTCTTAACACTTCTGTGGACAAGCTAATGATCTAAATGGTAGTATAGTCTGATAGAAGTCTTTACTGATTTGATGAGTTTTCTTTTTTTTTTTTTCTCATTTATCAAAATGGAATTTTCATTACTTTGAGATTTTAAGGACAAGCCATGGAATACATCAAAACGTCTCTGTTCCCGTTTTTATTGAATGAGCCATTCAGAATATGTTTTTGAGGGAGAAAGGGCATGATTTGTTCATAGAATCCTTAGTACTCATAGTCCATGACTGCTGTTATCCTGATTGGAAAAAGGGCAACTAGTTTCATACAGCCTGCCAATTATTTAAGAGTCCTCTCTGAGGTTCCATGGTGAGGGTTTACATTTACAACTCTCTTCTGAACCATGCTGAACATTCATGTGGATGTAAAGATTTAAAAGCTGTTATAAAATGCAGTGTAAAATTGGAACACATCATGATAGCATAGCTACGCGCAAATGCAATAAATTTGCTTTTCCCTCTTTCTCGCATTTTTTCTTTCATCTGGAGAAGGTAGATTCTATTCTATGACCAGTTTTTGGATGTAACTGCTTGTTCACTTCTATGTGTTTGTGGCAGCTATATCTCATACAATGTCAAATTGACACACTCACATTCTTTGGGCTCTTGTGATTGGGAATGGGTTGCTTTTTCTTGTATTTGGTGAAGTACATTCTCATCATACTCTTAAATACGACCATAAAGCACTGCCAGTGCCTATTTTTTTCCGATTGTGCTGATGTGTTTTATCATTTATGTATGTTCATAGAACCTTGTCTATTTGGGTCAACTACAAATTTGATCATCATCTTCACTGTCAGCCAGTTTCTAATTATTTTCCTGCAACAATTGGTCTTGTTAATGCAGATCATCCTGTCCCAAGAGAAGAACATTCAGAAACTCAACGAACTTGTAAGATCTCTCAGAGAACAGCTGCGGCAGTGCACGAGTAGCAATGACAGTACGAATGGCAATCTTAACTCATTGGGTGATGCTCTTATTGATCTCGACAGACGTCCAATTCTGGAAGATTAGGGCACTGGGCTTCAAATGATTTTTTCTTATGTATTTTCTGTACCATAATTATCGAGAATCGGACCAAGGATTTTCGACTGACCATTTCTTAGTAGTCTGCCATGAAACATGATGATTGTTTAAGGTCACATGTACAAACTTGCTGCTGTCATTGTACTATATAGGAAGTTAGAATCAAATCAGCCCGAATCACAACAGTCAACAAATGATGTGTAAAATCCATTTATATCCTTTCAAAATCGGTTGCCACTGTATGCCATGCCTTCTTTTCTTTCTATTATCCCATGCAAAAAGTTCAACATTTATTTCGGGACGTAGAGAGTAATTTTGAAGAAGTGAAAAATCGGATATGCAAAAGATACGTCTACATTTATTCAAATTATATCTTCATCCTTTGCCCAAAAAAAAAAAAAAAGAATAAGGAAAACTTTCATTTTGATACCTTGTTTCAATATTCATTGAATGATATCTAAATATGTATGGTTTTATTGACAAATCTTTAATAATGGAATAAAAATGTGTTCAATGTGTAAGGTTACCAATTTTTACAATGTTTATTGACTTTTGACAGAGTAAAAAAGCTGAAAGAAGAGAAAAGAAATAAAAGTACTATAAAATATATACTCGAGTCCCCCTTCCTGTATGATTCTATCCTTGTGGTCTTCTTTCACGCAGCATATTTTTATTTCTCCTTACCAAGAAACGCACCGCTTTCGTCGTTCCACTTGAACAACAGCAACAATGACTCTCGGTTCCGGAGGATCGAGTGTTGTAGGTATAATCGCAAACTTCTGCACAGATTATCTAAATACGGGTTTGATGGATCTTGCCTATCTATGGTTTCTGAACTGAATTGCAACTGTTTATTGTTGACTATTTTATTTTGGATTGGCAGCAATTACCTTAAGCTTGTCTGAATTTCACTAGACTGAAAAAATATCTCTGTTAATGGTCTCCTGCTTTGTGGGTTCTTATGTTTTTCTTGTTTTATTCGGGTTATTCCTTGTTTTCTTCCTTCAGACATTAAATACTTTCGTAAAGTCAGTATATTTGCGATTGGAAATTTTAGGATGTTGATGAAGACACGTATTTGTGTTCAATCTGTGATGAGATTAGGTATCCCTCCATGTCCTATGTGCATGTTATTCATTCACATGATATCAGCTTTGTTTTGCCAATGTGAGTAACTTTTTAAGAAAGAAAAGCTGTTGGTTGGTGTAGCTCCTGTTCGGTTCCACAAGAGAAAAAGTTGATAATGTTCTTATCAAGGCAGTAATCTATAATGTGCTGAATTTAGTACATAAGTGGTTTTTCTGTGAATGATGCACATCCAAGAGGAAGGAGAATGAAATTTTTTATAGTTATGATTTGGCAATCAGCTCAATTTGTAAATGTTTGTGGTGGTGATTAGTAGACTCTTGAAGCCTTGTTATGTCGCGGATATAATAGAATGCATGGAAATATGTTTGCGACATCTGTCTTAGGTTAATGGGAAGGGGGAAAACAAAACAATTTTGATGAGGCAGTTGATGAAATTTTTAAGGTGTTGCTGGATATTAGAGGGAATCGTATCGTAAATATAGATTGATTTAGTGATAAAGAGAGAAAAGTATTTTCGATACATTATTGATGAATTTATTAATCTATTTAGGTGTATTGCTCAATACACTAGCTATGTGTATCATGACAACGTACTCGTTCGGCTACAAATAGCTTAAGGATGGATTTTTTCTAAACAGCCCAATCACAAACAGGGTTTTCAAATGGTGGTTTTATTATACACTCTTTAGTGGTTTCAGCACTTCATTCTCGATCATTTGAAATGGATTTAAAACTGGAACAATCAAGACAGTAAAATGGGTTTCATCTGTGATATTACTACAGCCTCCAATGTTACAAATTTTCATGTTTTCTTGAAATTTCGTCAACATTGTTATCGTGCTCTGTAGTTGTACCATGTAAATTTGCCTTGATGTGATGCCTAACAGTTCTCCTCCTAAAGAATTTTCATCGCTTTCTGCAATTGTGTTAGTCGATTTGAACTTCTTCATTCACTAACTTCTAATGTTGCCCTTTTCCTAAAAAGAGTTTCCAAGACACATTCACATGAAGTCATGCTATGCTGCATTATTAGGTTGTAAAAGACATTAATGATCTGTTGTACAGATTCAAAACAAGTGAAATTTTTCTTCTGATCCTGCATTTAATGTCAATTCTCATCACCATTGAAATTACCTATAAGCGTTGCCTACTGAGGTAGAGGCAATCAGATGTGCGATCCTTCTTGTCCGTGCATGATGTCTTCCGAAATGTGTGATCATTATGTCAAGGCCATTTAGGTCCTGTCTGAGTTTTGCTGTTTCTTCCAAATTTGGTGACATTTTTGTTTCTCGACAGTGCCTCGAAATTTTAGGTTGTTGGAGGAACTTGAGCGTGGGGAAAAAGGTATAGGAGATGGTTCTGTCAGCTATGGAATGGATGATGCTGATGACATATACATGCGTGCTTGGACAGGGACCATTATTGGTCCACATAGTGTATGTCATTTGTTTAACTTTTCTGTTATCTGTGTCCTACATAATTTCAAAATTGAGTGAATCTTCTTTGTGTTGATGCTATGTATGATTACAGTTTTCTATTTGGTCGATTTCTAGTGTGTTCCTTTGTGTTTTATTTTTCTTTTGATAGCTTTTTCTAGAGACGTCGAAGCCATCCGGTTGCTATTGATAATGTGTCATCACGATGCCTCTCTTGTGATTAAGAATTTCTTCTCTAGTTTTATGGCCATAATTCTATTTATTGTATCTTTCGTTATCTTTAATAAGTCCATGCTTTAATGTTGGTTTTAGAGGTAAAAGTTCTTGTAGCCTTAACAATGAAAAAGGAAAAGCCAGTAAATATGCACAATTTGTCCTTTCTCAAACCCAACATCGAAACTAGAGTATCTTTTTTAATCTCTGAAACTTGTTCCTTTAACTTTTCTTACAGTGTAGACAGATCCTGGGGCCCCATTGACTTTTCTACTTTTAATTAGATAATGAGGAGCATAGCTGGTACTTATATGGTAACTGATGTGTTTCTTAGTGAAGTTCAGTGCTCTGATTTTTATTTGAAGGGGGGGCACATACGTTTGCTTGGGCAAATATGAAATAGTATGTTTTCTTTGAGGTGAGGGTAACTTTTAAAGCAATGCTGGTTTACTACATTTTACTGTCCCAAATCGAAAACCAGTAACACTAACTAACTGAACATGCATGGTATTGGTGCTCATAGAGTGTAAAAAATGATGATTATCCTCATACAACTTATGTAGGTTATTTTTCTCCTCTGGTTCTATATGAATTTATAGTCCAGTTAAGTCTATGCAGCTATCATTCTTAGTACAACTAGTTGACACACACGAGTTACACACAGTGAACTGATGAATAGAAGTGCAGAACTATCAAGTTCATATATTTTAAATGTCCATGTCCTGCATCTTTCATGAGATTATTGACTTGTGATTGCCGTTACCACAATGGTTGAGATCCACATCCTCAAAGAACCTGCATTGGAAGTCGAATATAATTGTGCGGACCTAGTCAAGGAACGTGATGATACATTTCATTTCTGTGTTTGAAGTAAGAATCCGGAGATTGGTTGTGTGAACCATCTCACAACCTCTTTCACTACTCTGTCAAACCAACACTTGTAGATGTTGCATCTTATCATTCAACTTCCTCAATTGACGGCTTGGTTATTTTTTAAGTAATCGAGTCATTGACTTAAAAGATGACAACCCCCATGGGAGGAAAATCCAAAAGTCTGTGTAGTGCCTCATCTCTTTTTCCCTTTTTCGAATCCATAATAGCTGACCTCTTACTTCATCTTCCTTAATCAGAAAAGCAAAACTCATTAATGGGACCATGTCGGGATAAAGCAGTGTATTAGTAATGAGTGCTTCACAAAGGCAACTGGTCATCAGAAACTGACAAGGATGGGTTAACCAAGATCTAACACAAAGTCTGCAAGGCCCTCAGTGGTGGGATAGATATTGGTGGGTGTTAGTTGGTTTGGAATTGAGAATCAAGTAGAGTGGGGAGGGTGTTTTGGCTATTACATAGCCAGAGTGATTGTCTGGAGAATAAACTGGTGAATGATTTAGTTAGAAAAAATGCAGTTTTGTCCTTATCTTCAGTACGCATCTCATGTAGAACTTTCCTTGTGACGGGTTGGCTTTCTTTACAGACTTATGAAATTCAGTGAGCAAATTTTGGTGACAATTTTATCGAGTTGCTCATTTAAAAACAATGAAAATAGAAATGATCATTATGGCTGGCTCCTCTCTCTCGTTTGAAATCATTGAAAGTCTTGTTCTGCTTTCCAGTATCCTTTTAGGAAATTGCTCAAGGGTCAAAAGGATGTGATTAGTTATACATCCAATGTTACAAACTACTTCTTTCAAATGTTGCACAAGTGATGTTAAGATTTGTGTTTGAAATTCTAGCTTAAATGCTTCCACTTTGTGTTTGTTGTGGTTGTTTGTTGTTCATCCCTGTGGCGGAAGTGATTATTTATTTATTTATTTTCTACTTTTGTCAGACTGTGCATGAAGGCCGTATTTATCAACTGAAGCTCTTTTGCGACAAAGATTATCCAGAAAAGCCACCAAGTGTCCGTTTCCATTCACGTGTCAACATGACTTGTGTCAACGCAGAGACTGGAGTGGTAATACTATCGATATTAGTTTTCCTTTTTGTTCTTGTTTATGATTTTGAGTTTCTTTTTGTACTTGAACTTCTACCAGACGGATCAGATGCATATTTATATTTCTCCTGCAATTAAAATATTTGGTCATTCATGGGAATGCACCCATTTGTCTAAAAATAGCTTGATTCTCCTCTCATATATCTTGGTCAATAAAGTCCTTGATAAATGGGTATGCATTTAGATGAATAGATTCATAAATACAGTGTTCCGCATGACGTTGATGATGGAAGCTTGTTTTCCAGTATTGTGATTTCCCTTCCCAAGGACCAACTTTGCTTGAGAGATCATTGGATTTGATGTGTTTCCAGTGTTTTACTTCATATTAACCATAGCACGATTCTGCATATCTTTCTAGTACATTTTTGAATTTATTGTAATAGGATGGAGGAATATGATAGGATAACTGCTTTGTAGGTCGAGGCAAAGAAGTTTGCGATGCTAGCTAACTGGCAACGGGAGTTCACCATGGAAGACATATTGACTCAGCTGAGGAAAGAGATGGCAGCTTCACATAACCGGAGGCTTGTTCAACCTCCGGAGGGTACCTTTTTCTAATTGGAATCATCATCAGCTGTTGACAGTTGAGACCCTGGATTCGTAAACCTGTAGAATTTGTCCTCAGAGTAAATATTTATGGTTCTTGTGACGTGTATGATGTCCCCCAGGTTCAGTACTTCGTAATTCTGGTGATTTTAAGATTCTGTTTGTGTTGAATATAGCATGTATTATGACATTTTGCATTGTTGGAATCAATCTCAGAGACATCAAAGTCCAAACCAGTTGTATGTTTGGGTGTGGAAATTCTGTAACAATTTTTGTTACGACCCTAGTAATACTTGACATTTTTGAGGTTTATGAAATGATTTTTACACGTGTCAAAGTTTGATGAGCATTGTAGAGCCCAAGATTTTTGGATTGCAATACCAAACAGTTTGATTAAGTTAATGATTCGTTCATGCGTTTTCGTCCCTTTAATTTTCGACCCTCTTACCACATATGTGGTTAGATCGGAACAATTTTTTGGAGAATTCGTTTACAATATGTTTTTCTTCGTTCAATTTACCAAATGCATTGTAGCCATCAGCCAAATGTTCACTTTCACTTGACATTATTGTTTTGTTTTTCTCAGTTCACATGAGTCTAACTGGAGACCTTAATTTGAAAAACACAAATCCTTAACCATTTGATCTGACAAGAATAAAAAAATTGTAGAAAATAATCTCTTTGTCTCAAAATTATCGTCCAGATTGAATTTTCACTTTTAGTTCAATTTGTACTGAAAATGAAAATTTAAAGTTTCAAACTGGACAATAATTTCGCGACGAGAGAGTATTAAATAAGATTCGAGTACACACAGTTTAAGTAGTGGCAATGAAGGATAAAAGTAATCACATCATCATCATCAATTATTAGTATAACAATGTAATTAGTAGGGGTGGGTCAAAAGGTGTACAAAGTTGAAGAAGGTCGAGTCAAACATCGTGTGATTACTTTTGATTGGATGGTCAAAGGTGAGGACTTAAGTGGTCAAACTCAAAAGTCTCTAAACTGGCAGGCGGAACTTAAGTACCTTTTACGACAAGAGATGATTAAGGTTAATTAAGGATTAATTTCTGACCTGTGTAAAAGAATACGGATTAGTCTTAACAAACCACTAATACTATGTTCTTAATTAAACAAGTTCGCAAAAAACATGACGGCTAAAAGGCTCCATAATTAAAAAATTGTCTTCTCAAATCAGCATATTATTCACGTGTGTCAAATCATTATCTTATTAATATGAACAAAAAACAGGAAAGAAAAAGTAGGGATATTATTGTGTACTAGTGTGTGTCCATTGGAATCTACTTCAGCCTGGTGATATGAACGTCCGTAGGAGTGAAAGATTAAACGCACCTCACCTTAACTGTGTGTGAACAGTGTGATAATGAGAACGAGCAAAAATCAAACCATCAAACCAAAACATCTATTTCACCACAAAACCATCGAACTTTAGATCCTTTCATGTTTAGTTTATCTCTTGAAGGGAACTTTCCCGACTTAATTTTATATTAGTTCGGGTAATGATCTTAGACTTCATATTTCGTATATACTCTCTCGTGTTTTTAATATAAGACATTTTGATTTATTCTACATTTTATTTAGTACGCATTCTTAATTAATAAAAATCTTAAAAACATTTCCTAACAATTAAGGGAACACACGAGGAATGTAAAAAATATTTTTAAGGGGCTTTTTTCGATTAGAAATACATACTAGATAACACTTATGACAAATCAAAATTTCTTATATCAAGGACGTAAGAAAGTAAAACACATAAGAAAAAGATTTTATATTTTAAGATGAATTACATGTCGTAATCAAACCTAATATATATGTTCTCCTCTTATTGTAAGAATATATAAATATATTTACGTTGAGATTTATGGGAAATTATTAAAATCTCCGTTTGAAATAAAATATCATTTGATATCAAATTAGTAATTTCATGAATACGAGCCGATAAACCTTTAATTTAAGGAAATTGTTATCCGAGATATTGAGAGTTGAGTCTATCTGAACAATTTATCTTTTAAACACAAAACCCAATGCAAAACAAACAACCGTCCAAATAACTTTCTGATTAACATTTTAAAATCAAACTTGAAACATTTTGTTAGTGTAATGGCCATTTTTTGAACTAAAAATAGTTCAATGACTAAATCTAAAACTTTGCACATTTATTTCAGTTTGTCTCTAGTCAAAATACCGAGGCCCAATTCATGGCGGTTATGAAAAAGTTTTTGGATTATGTATTGAAATATCAAGTGCGATAATTATTACTAAACAATCGAAAAGTGTCAATTTTAGTCACTGTAAAAAAAAGAATTTAAAAAATGATCACTGTAAAATGATCAGTAAAATCACAGAATAGCTTCCCAGTACGTATTATTTGTTGTGTCACTTGGTTGAATCCAACTCGAAGAAACCAAATCACGCAGCTTATTATAGTTCAGAACTGAAATTGATGTGTTTTGAAAACGAAAGCAAATAGAAAAATAGAGATAAAAATTGACCTTTTGAATAATTTTCTTAATTTAATCATCAACAATTTGAATTGGCCTTTTCTACGGTCTGCGCAAGAACTTGGACCGCGTCCGCGTCTGGATACTCCTACTTGATTCCTAGTTTTTCAAATTGCACTTACGAGTGATGGCGGCTACTATTTCTTACAAGTCCAAAATTTTTGGTCAAATGTAACTTTGGCACCATATTTTTTTAAGAATTGCTTGGAAAACCTTAAAGTTTTGTGCGATTACAAAAAAGATTGAGTGCATTTTGTAGCGATCTACCATGAGAATAAGAAAACAGTCTAAGCAACACTGTTGAATGACAAAAGACAATGACAACAGGAAGTTACTAAACAAAATAACAAACAAATTCCAAATCCCTCGCGCCCTAGCAAAGTGAATTCAAATATGTCATCACATTACATTTTCAAGTTTCATTTTAATTTTTTCCCACGTCTCAAAAATAGCAACCAAAAAGTAGAATAGGTTGTGATTTATTGTGTTCTAGTGTTTGGGATGGAGTGGCAATGTACTCGTTCTTACAGTCCTACATGACAAAAAATGCGAAAGCAATTAACAAGCAAAAAATTTCTTAATTTATGTTTAACCTCGTAATTTGTTATATCAGTCTCGTTTCTAAATACTTAACTAATTTTATTTTTAGTGATGTGGTTATAACCCAATACAGTAAAACTTCTCTAAATTAATAATTATTAATTTATCGATAAATTAATATTTTGTTAATTTAAAGAATTATTTTTCAAGCCTATTAGTACGAAATACAACAAATTGTTATTTTTATATCAAGAAAAGTCCATTGCAGCCTAGCCACAACATTAAAATCTTTTTAATGGAACAAAAACATGATATTTTCAAACATAAACAAAAATACTGAAGTTAAAATCTATGTTAATCTTCAAATCTAATTTATTATTTTAAGTATTTATTAATTTATGAAATTGTGAGACCTATATTTACATAGGAGATTCTTAAAAAATTATTATTTTATAAATTAATCGATTTTTTTAAAATTTTTTTGTACTAGTCCCGAATTGAAACCAGAGAAAATATTTAATAGAGGTTATTAATTAATGAAATATTAATTTAGAGAGATTTTACCGTACATGGAACCCAATACATCTATGTAAACAAATTTAATTGCCTTCAATGAGGGCAACAAAAGAAAACTCTTGAAGCAAAGGGATCTTGTAATAATAATACTAAGAAACAGTATCACTAAAAATCAGCATCAGCAGACAAAATCTGCCGCAATTTCATAGAAGCAAACAACAGAATTAGATTATAGTATGCCCTCTATTCTAGAAAATAATTCAATGGTGAACATCAAAATTTTTTAAAACTATATTTAAGAGTTTTATATTAACACGAAAATCAAATAATGAACAATATAATATTTTTTTGTTTAATTTTTTAATAAAATTTTATAATTAAAGGAAAGAGTAAAATTTAAGGAATTATTACATTTACACTCACCTAGTCATGATGTTCAATCTAACTTAAGCAGATAAGGAAACATCCTACCTGGTCAACCTCCCCTAACTCCGTGTTGAATCTGGACGATTTCTTTCATTCATTTCCCCGTGCACTTGTTCCGTTTTTAATTATTTTTCCTTAAAGGGAAAAAAAAAAAAAAAACACTGAAAAAACACCGTTCATCACCCAACTTGCCATTATTTTATATCATCGTACCGACCTTCCCTTCCAGGCAACCTCCTTTATTCCATTTCCCCCCATCTCGTATATAAAATGCAAACTCTCAGTCCTAATTCCCAACTCAAATCAAAATTTTCTTCAGTTTCTCTCTTCTGGGTTTTACTACTTACAGTTAATTTTACTCAAAAATTCAAAAATTTCAATTTGAACAATTCGGACAATATCACAATGGTACAGCTTGACGAGGATGCCACCGGCGACTTGGGTTTAGTCCGACCTTCGAAACCCATAAGAATCAGAGAAGTTTGGGCGGATAATCTTGAATCGGAATTCGAATTGATTCGTGATGTTGTGGATAGTTACCCTTTTGTTTCCATGGATACTGAGTTTCCCGGTGTGATTTACAAGCCGCCGCAACCGCCGACTAATTACCGGAGGAGGAAGCAGCAGCCGTCGGATCTCTACAAGTATCTGAAAGCAAACGTCGACGTTTTGCAGATGATCCAACTCGGGTTGACCCTCTCCGATGCCTCCGGGAACTTACCCGATCTGGGCTCCGACGAGTTCCAGTACATCTGGCAGTTCAACTTCTCCGACTTCGACTACGCGCGTGACCTACACGCTCCGGACTCCATCGATCTCCTCACTCGCCACGGCATCGACTTCGAGAGGAACCGGGATTCAGGGATCGACTCGGCCAAGTTCGCCGAGCTGGTGATGGGTTCCGGTCTGGTCTGCAACGAGGCGGTGAGCTGGGTGACGTTTCACAGCGCGTACGATTTCGGGTACCTGGTGAAAGTGCTCACGCGCTGCGCCTTGCCGGAGGATCTCACCGGTTTCCTGGAGCTTTTGAGGGCTTTCTTCGGTGACAACGTTTACGACGTCAAACATTTGATGAGGTTCTGCGATAGCTTGTACGGCGGTTTAGACCGGGTGGCTCAGGCGTTAGACGTGAACCGGGTAGTCGGAAAGTGCCACCAGGCCGGTTCCGATAGCTTGCTCACGTGGCACGCGTTTCAGAAGATTAGGGATGTATATTTTGTAAAGAACGGAGGGCCGGAAAAACACGCCGGCGTCCTGTATGGGTTGGAGGTGTATTAACCAATTTAATTTATTCATTTAAAAAGAATAATTAGTTAACAAGAATTCTTTTATTCGATTCTCTTTTTGAAAATACTGGGTTTTGACTTTGGACATTATTTTAGCTAAATAATTTGTCGACAACAAAAGACGTGTTTAGTTTGAAGAATGAGAAATGAAGAACAAATTGAACTTTGCTCGATGATTGAAGAATAAAATAAAATGTTTAGGGGACAAAATGTGGATGAAATCTGCTACACCCTTTCGTTCGTGCACTATAATGGTCACACTTCATACACTATTTTAATTCTTTCTGTCCGAAAAGATTATTTAATTTGGTTTCACTTTTAATATATAATTATCTAAAAATAAAATTTTAAATTAGGTAATCATTTTGGGATGAAAAAAATATTAAAATAAATATTTTTATAAAATGATACTCCCTCTGTCTCATAATTATTGTCTAGTTTGAGATTTCATTTTTAGTACGATTTAAACTAAAAATGAAAATTTAAACTGGACAATAATTATGAAACGGAGGGTAACTGATTTGATACTCGACTAATTTAAGGAGTGCATCCAGTGTGCACCAGTTTGGCAAGAAATATAAAATCTAAAATCTATGGTGTCACGGATGATTTTTTCCATTCAAGTTTTTAACTTTTTTTTTAAACAATCATTCATGCAAAAAAGGAAAAAAAAAGTGATACGTAACGTAATGTTTTGTAATTGCAGACGCTAGACTTTTCTTATCTAGATTCAGCCGTTCAGGTTTGTAGTACTTAATTATATACTACCTCCGTCCAAAAAAAAAAAAAAATAGTCTATTTTGAATTTTGAATTTTGTACTGTTTTTAGTACAAATTTGAAACTCAATATAGATTATTTTTTTGGGATAGAGGTAATAATAAAATAGATTTTTTTTTTTTGAGACGTAAGGGATATAAGATTAAGTAACATTGAGCATGGTATATTGCTCTGCATTAACAAATATGGCCGAGTACGTATGATCAACATATACCAAGAACCACAATTCTGTTTCACAAAATAATAATAAAAGAAAAAATGTACCATGAACCTCGAGCAGAACTATTTCAGGACAATGGTTTTTTTTCCTTTTCTTTTCTTCCTTTTTTTTTTGTACAAATTAAAACAGGAAGTAAAATAAAAGACATTGTAGAAATTGTATACATGTGTTACGTCGGTAGAAAACGCTGATAATATCGAATTATAGGTATGAAGTAATATCTAATAGGTGTGTTTTAAACATATTGTTACTTCTTATATTGTACTATTTTTGTCCAAACAAATACTACATATTAGGTTTTAGTTCATATTGAATTTTAAAATTCGTATTAAAACTGAATATAGAATTTTTGTTTTTTTTAAACACAGGAGAGTGTATAGATACAAAATTTATGTCTCTAACTGACATTAAATTCATATAGGAAGGATGCTATAGTTTCTAAATTTTGAGAGAATTCGCTGCTAATACCTATGTCAAAATGATCCATGATAAGCGTTGAACATACTAAAGAAAATTTGCAATATACGACCTAATTTTTTCAAAGATTTATATCTAGCTAGTAAGGCTAGAATGCATCAAATAAACTCGAGTTCAACTTTTTTTTTTCCCTAATGCACAAATGGATGAAGGAGTTCAATAATAATATCCATATTCCAACAATTCATGTGGAATCATGAAACCGGATTATAGGAAGATTAAGTAGTGGAAGAAAGAGGGATAAATACGTTACCTTATCCCTTCAATTCTTAAAATTCAAAAAAAAAAATATTAGTTATCTGCTAATTATCTTCTTGGTGGATAAACTATCTCATGCGCGCAGTCTTGCTAACCGAAATATATGATGAAATGTGAAGTTAGAACTGAGATATAGAGCATAAATTAATGGAGAACAATGATATATAGCCAACCACTACCCTACCACATGTAGTTATTTAGTAAGAAATTCAAAACTTTTGGTATTATCTTCGTCTTAGAATTATTGTCAACTAGCTAAATGATTTTAGGATAAAGAGAAAGAAACTATAACTCTAGTGGTCTAGTGAGCAACAAAAGAGTAAATTTGACATTGAAGAAGAAATGTAAACTGAATATAAGTGCATATATAACTTCTATTCCATCTTATCTACAAATTAAAAAAGAAAAAAATCCATTACATAATTCACAAAAAAAATAATAAGAATAATAAAAATCACAACCTCATTAAAGTTCTTACCTCTCTTCTTTCAATATGATGAAGTTATGCTATTAGACCAACAATAATACCTTCTCAGCATCGAAAGATTCTATGAATATATATGCCAGACTTTCAGGCAGTGAATTTGATATTATTGATCATGATGATTCTTGTGCATTTTGGGCTTCTTTGAGACGAATGACTCCATTCCATATGTCCATGAAAGCTTGAACAATGACCTTATGGTGAGAGGATGAGTTGAGTTCAAGAAAGCAGTTGAGAAGCTCTTGAAGATCATCTTTGGTGTAGATTTCTTTCTCCAAAATCATTTGAAGCATTGATTGCCGGAAATCTTGATAAGGGTCGTCGGAATCCTTGAGAACTGCTACACTATCTCCAAATTTGGGGAATTGACCCCCTGTCCCAAAAGCTGGTTCCGCCACCGAGCAACTGTTAGGATCGTGGTTTATTTGATGACCACGTTCCGAACACTTCGTGGATGTAGTAGTATCAGTACTAACATTGTTGAATGAATGTGAGGTGGAAGTCTGATCATCATCGTTGTCAATGGAGTATGTTCCAACACCTCTTTCCCAAGAACTTGAAGAAGAGAAGTGGCAAGGATGATGATAACTAGTTTTTGCTTCGACATCTGGTTTCGGTTCTGGTTTCGATTTCGATTTTGGTTGGAACACTTCTTTAGGCTTTGGCCTACCACAACCACAGCCCCCATGGGATGTAAATATGTTCTTAAGCATCTTTATTGTGGTTGAGGGCATTAGGAAGGAATTAGGAGGGGTTTTTGATATTGAAGGAGAGGTGTTGGGTAGGATAATTGTCCTTTTCTCTTGTATTTGATATGGCGCGTATTGCCGTATGGAATAAGGAATTACTAGGTAGATGTTACTTTTAAGGCTCAGATTATGATGACGGAAATGGTTTCAAATCACTAGTAGTTAAGAAAGATAATTAGGTAAGAATTATCTTACTTCCAAAAAAAAAAAGGAATTATCTTGATAAGATTTTCATTACGAGTTTGTTATTCGTTAAATAATACCTCAACTTGTATATCTTTACACATAATTATCGTCAACGTAAAATATGTTCCAAATTACAAAAGGAAATGTTTGGATGTGAGCTTTGCTATAACATGTAGGCAAATAATATCAAACACCTAGATACATATTTCATTGTGTATCTAGACAGTGTGTGTGATACAAATATGTCAAAAAAAGAGTGGATATTTTACCCCATGAATTAATACATCTACACGCATATTTGATCAATTAAACACATGATTCTTATCCCTTTTTTTCAGCAAACATTTAATTTCAAATTTTTTTTTCTAGCTTATCCTAATCTTTTTTATACAATTTTATTTTATTCGATTTTTTTAATTATTTATTGTTAGATCTTCATCTAATTTTTTTCTATTAAGCTTTATTTAAATTTGATGGTATAAGTTATCCTAAATTCAGTTTTTTATTTTGAAATTGAAATTGATGGTATAGCTTTATTTGAAATTTGATGGTATAAACTATTTATCAAATTTAGTAAAATTGAATATGGAAGATTTTAATAGATAACGATGTTTATTTGATGAATAATGGTATGCTTTTCGATAAATAATGATAATATTGTGGATGAATAATGGTGTTCTTATAGTGACAAAGTTATGGATAAGTAAATTTAAATTTTAAAATGGATAATAATATTCACAAGATGAATAACGGTGCAAATCTCGATGAATAATGATCTCATTCTAGATGAATAACAATACTAAAATGAAGAATATATGTAGTTTTACTAGATGAATAATTATACTTTAATGAGTAAATAATATATCGTTAGTGGATGAATAACGCACAATAGAACGAATAATTTTGATTAAGAAAACTAACAAGAGTATATTTTACAATGTGTTAATGTCAACAACTAAGTCAAGAAACTTCTAATTATGTATTATACTAGACCAAAATTGAACAAAAGAACTAGTCATTGTTTTTAACATATAAGGTCTGAAAAATTCGCTGATGTGAAAAGCTGGTCATTGTTTTCACATGTGACTCAATTTCCACTTCAACACTTTTCTTTCAGCTCCTAATACTCAGCTTGCTGCAACATCTGGTTGTTTTCTTTTATTCTTACTGATGTATTATGTCAATGAAGGGCAACATTAACAAACAAATAGTAACACAATAGTTAATGAATATCTTAAATTCGCATCATGAATAACCATATTCGATGAACAGAAGCCGATGAATAATTATGAACAATGAATGAATAATACATTGTAGTTGATGAACACCGAAGTTGATAAACAACACGTCAAATAATATGACGAAAAACTAGTCATGTTTTTTACATGTGACTCAATTTCCACTTTAACACTTATTGGTGGTGGGGTTCTTTCAGCTCCTGATACTCGGTTTGCTGTAACATCTGGTTGTTTCCCTTTATCCTTACTGACGTATTATGTCAATAAAGGGCAACATTAACAAACAAATAAGTAACACCATAGTGGTGTAATGAATATCTTAAATTCGCATGATGAATAACCATATTCGATGAACAAAAGTCGATGAACAATTATGAACAATAAATGAATAATACATTGTAGTTGATGAACACTGAAGTTGATAAATAACGCCTCAAATAATGTGACGAAAAATAGTGTAGTTGATGAATAACAGTACATAGTTGATGAACAACATATTCCATTTCAATAACAATGAATATTTTGACAACATCTAAAATAATAAATAACACAGTCCAAATTAATGAATGACAACGATGCTCTTTAATTATGAATAATGAATGAATAATACATTGTAGTTGATGAACAACGAATTTGATAAACAACACCTCAAATAATGTGACGAAAATAGTGTTGTGGATGAATAACACAATGTAGTTGATGAACAATAGATTCCATTTCAATAACTATGAATAATTTGAAAACATTTAAAATAATGAATAACACAGTCTAAAGTCATGAATGACAACGGTCGAATAACATTCTTATTACAGATAAATAATATATGTGTAGATAATGACTAATGAATAAATATATCACACTGATGCACAACCATTTGTACACGAATGCAGAAACTATATATCAAACTGATGAATAGTGAAAAAGAACTGATGAACGATGCACAACCCAAAAAAAAAACGATGAACAAATTGTTGAAATTGATGAACAAAGATATGTATTTGAATGCATATACATCAGATCTTCAAAACCCATCATAAAAACACATCGAACGAACAATCATTATGAGGAATAATCCATTATTATTGATGAATAAATGATGGGTAATTGCTGAATAATGAAAAGATCTGGAAATTCCTTCTAAAATCAACAACAAATGGACGAACAAAACTAAAAAGTTGGTGAGCAACTATTTATAATCGAATACAGAGTCCTCAAATCTACATATAACCCAACAAAAAAAAATACATCAATTGTTGAAGAAATTAATAGTATTACATCCTTCTCTCTTCAGTCATCAAGTTGCTCTTATTCGAATCAGAGTACACAATCGTGGCCCTCTATATGAACATTTCAGGAAAATATCATTATTAGAACTTCATACATGGAAGAAACAAGCAAAACCGATGAATAAAATCATGTGTAACCTTAATTCTCATATTCAACAGTGTATATCGCAAACAAACTCACGGGATTTGATGCACAACCGGATTCCGTCTTAAAAAATACCGCCGACGAGAGGTGTTGATGCCAAATCGCTGCAGAGATGAATTTTAGTTTGAGTTTTTAGATGTTTTAGTTTGAGACGTCTTTGGATTGAATGGAATAATAAGTTGGATATGGTTAATGATGGCTAAAAATTAGGAGAAATATCAGGAATTGAAAATTTAATTTTTTTTTTTTACCCTTTTTTGGGCGCTTGTGTATTAACCTGCAAGGTGTAACTAGATGCTTTATATTATAATTAAGAGAAAATGGGTCTTTTCATCCCAAAGTTTGGGCCACACCATCCAAAACATCCCAAAGTTTAAGAACATGCCATTTACATCCCAAACTTTTTTAAAACATGTTACATTAGGATATTCGTTAAATTTTTAACTCCAGTTAATTAATTAGTGGTGGTACTTTATTCTCTTTCTCCTCCCTCAATTCTTTTAATCATTTAACACGTTTCACTAACTCCCACCTTATAAGAAAATAGCTAAACCTAATTTGGTCTTCACATCATCCATTCTTCCCTTGCTTAGAAAAAAAAAAAAATCCAAGATTCACCTTCTAGATTGATAACAATCATGAGATGTTTTGTGTGTGTCCTAATTAGAAAGTAAGCCTTATTTCATTTATTTTTTAAAATATGTAGCATCATTATAAAAATTGGTGTTGTAATTGATGCAGGGGCATGCAACGTTTTTGCTTGGTATGGACCAAATTTACCAAACGCAAGCATGAAACTTTTTTGACTAAAAAAAAATGGGGGAAAAGAACTGAATGAAATATCGCCGTTAATAACTTGAAAAAATTAACAAATGTCCTAATATTACATATTTTTTGAAAGTTTGGGATGAAAATGACATGCTTTTAAACTTTGGAATGTTTTAGATGGTGTGGCTCAAACCTTGGAATGAAAAGACCCATTCTCCTATAATTGATAACATGTACGGTGCCTTCTTACAAGAAAAGATAGATATCGAAGTAGTAGTTACGTTAAATGAATCTTTTTTCACATTAAATTATAAGTTAACCTTGATATGATTGAATAACAAACAAAATATAAATAAAACGATTTTAAAGTGGTAATTGTTTGCGTTAACGAGGGTCAATATGAGTTAAAATTATTTATACAGCTAATTAATATGCTTACATTGATGAGGTTATGTAGTTACTGTATACATGTATAAAAAAAAACCTCATATTTTTCTACAAAATTGATAACTTAAATGTTGCATGTGCTCTAGTGTGGCCATTAGGGAACTCACTTTCAAATTAACGAAAACATGTATGGCTCATTTCTGTGGAACGATGACCACTTTTATTAAAGAGCTTTCAATTGAACAGATAAGAGCTAATACCTAGAAATTCTACCATCAATAGGTACCCAAAGTTGGTACAAGTCCTTCTTCTTTAGACAATACACAGATTTTGATTTTGGGTACATCCTTTTATGTTCACATATTGACATAATCATATGCTTATCCAATTCAAAAATGCATTTATTCTGTTTTAATGCCTCTTGATATTACCTGATTAAAGAATTAACATGAATTGGAATCCTTATATATTACTCTCTATGTCCCAAATTATTATCCATTTTGAGTTTTTATTTTTAGTACAACTTGAACTAAAATTGAAAATTCAAACTGTACAATAATTTCAGGATGAAGAGAGTAAATTTTATATTTTATATACTAAGAGGGGAGGATTCTATGACAAATTGAGTCTACAGACTCAACACGTGTCGCAATTATAGAAAGTCGTTAAAAAATATTACTTTAATCTGAATGTTAATAATTGTCTTTTACTATTCTCAGTTGAAAAATCTGAATCATATCCACCATATAAGATACTCCCTCCGTTCCATAATTATTGTCCAGTTTGAATTTTCATTTCTAGTTCAAATTGTACTAAAAGTGGAATCTAAAAAAGGACAATAATTTTGGGATAGAGAGAGTATTTGATTTATTTGCTTGACTCCAAAATATTTAAATTATAAATATAAATGATTGATCCCAATCCAGAATCTCTATATAAATGTGATCCCAACCTATACAATCTTGTTTTTGTGACCACTCGCAGAGTGAATGTCGTGATGGCCGTCCGAAATAAATATGGCCGCTGGCCGGGACATGTAATTAAGAAGCAATTTTGAAGCAAAACAACTGCCGGAGTTGAAACCGTGGAGTTCGACATCAGCTCGCTTGCTTCTGTGAAACAGTTTGTTAAGGAATTCGTTTTGTTTGGTCGTCCATTGAATATTATGTTGTTCTTATAAACATTTCTTTGTTTTTCAACTGTTTTTGTATTATATAGTAATAATGTTGGTCCTCTTCTGCTGCAGTGTTTGGGATAAGGCCTAAATTTAACATCAGATTCACGGTATATTATCTTCTAATGGTTAGTATTTTTCCTAAAATCTTTTACAAATTGGAAAATAAATAAATAAATATTCTGCTCAACTCGTGAGATAAGAACTAGTGTTAATTACTAGACTCATAATAATAAACTTTACACATAAAATAATGTTGTATAAACTTTTAATTCATATTTCTTTTATTTAATTAATCATTAACTGCACCTGATCACAAGTATATCATTAATTGGGGAAAACATACAATTTTTTTCTTTTTTTTCTTGGTGTGAAAACGGAGTGATTTTGTTTGGGAAAAGGATTTTCCGGAATGGATGTTTAGAAACATTGGGCTTATTTGAGTGGGCCGTAAATTTCTGATTTCCAATCGATTTAGTAAGCGGAAAATAGAGCTGGCGTTATGTTATACTAGTAAAAAAGAAAGGCCATTTAAAACAAACTCTGGACCCGTCAAGAATGATAGACCGGACCCGTTTCACAACCCATATTTTATTTTGGCTACACTTTATTAGCCGGGAAACTTCGAAGGGAGGGTGTGCTTAGTCCACCTCCATCATCCGGGCCCATCTACAATCTCCAACCCCAGGACAAAACCAACCCATCGAATGCCGTGCCACTCACTTTACTGTGAACTCTAAATTCTCTCACACACTCGAAATTTCAACGGCCCATTTCCTACTTCCTGACCAACACCCACAAAATCTATTGGTGAAATCATACCTAGAAAATAGCCTGCATTTAATAATAAAAAAAAATAGTTTATTAAATTAAACGCATGCATTAAAACGAACAAAATTGTAGATTATATTTGAACACTGAATGTAGGAACCTAGAAAGCCAATGAATTAGCAGTCAAGACATCTTCAATTTTATATATTTCCATTAGTTCTTGTGTTCTTCAGCACATATTTCTTCCCAACAGATTCAGGGCATCGCGGAAGACCTGCGTTGTTTCAAGTGTCGCTGTGGACAATTTCAAGATTCGAAGTTATTAAAAATTCCCCTTCCTTCGTTTCAATTATTCGAATGAAAAATTAACGTTTTAACTTTTTTTCCAATACACTTAAATTGCGTGTGGATTTACCGGTATCCACAATGTGTTCAAAATTCACTTCGATCAATGTATATATATATATATACATATATATATATATATATATATAACTCAGTGCATTATTTACATTTGTCGATAGTTTAGACAGATTTTGAAAGTGAGAAGAAAGGTCATAAACTTTTTTTCAGGTAAAATGTGATAAATGTTTATTTTTCTAAATTCATAAGTTTTGACATTTTTCTCGATTGAGCATACATATTTATTTTTTTTTTTATTTTTTAACTTAGAAACTTTAAATTTATACAAATTTTTTAAAATTTCATTTCGCTGACTTTTTTTTTTGTCTACTTACTTAAATTGGCGAAATAGTTGTTGCACATAATTTCTATTCAAAAAATAATTAAAGTGAATTTTATATCAGTTTTTACGTATCCTCAAATATGTCGTCATAAATAAATTTCGAAAATCAATAAAATATTCATTTGAAATTTTAATACTAATAAAATTTTAAATTGCGTCGACTTTTTAGTCAAGGGTAAACAAGAGCATATTGTACTAATTTCATGAGACGTCAGCTTTTACCTAGATCTATAATTCTACGGAATATTTTACAGTACTCGATATATTACTTTCACTCTTGCAGTGTTTTGTCAGATTTTTAAATTACTCCCTCCGTCCTATAATTATTGTCCAGTTTAGATTTTTATTTATAGTTCAAATTGTATTAAAAGTGAAATCTCAACTGGACAATGATTTTGGGACAGAGTCAGTAAAAGAATAATTTGAAAAATCGTATTATTTAGTTTGCGAAATTCATGAGTTTTAAAATTTTTATCGATTGAGGATAGTTTTAAATATTTCACAATTCTTTTCCAATGATAGTTACAAAAAAAAAAAGGTTTAAAGGGAGAGCCAAATGTAATTAATCTAAATCTAAAAAACAAGGGTCGGAAAGCGTGATACTTGTCACAATATCCCACCCTACAAAACAAGTTTGTCTGATTTTGCATCGTCTCTCTCTCACCTCAACTCTTTCCACCCTGCAAATCCTCCCAGAAAGAAACAAGCGAAAAAAAAGGAAGAAGAATTTTGCATGAATTCTTCCGCAAAGCACAACCCACTTTTTGGATTGAATTAGTTATTGATATTTTGCTACCCAAAATGGCTACTGCTTTGTTAGTCCCTCCCCACCTCTGCTTCAATTCTAGAGCTGTTCAATCCTTCCCAGCCTCAAATTCCACCTCCTCCGGTCACCGTTTTGGGTTGAAAATCAGAGCCGTAAAGGAGAAGACGGAAGAGATTAAGCCTTCTGCTTCCGCGGAAGAAATTACAAAGAAGTATGGGCTGGAAGTCGGTCTTTGGAAGGTACCCTGTTCTTCTTAAACTTTTCATTTCTCTCTGCTGGCCGTTTTGCACAGTTTTGATTTCAAGGTGTCTTTCAGTTTGATGGGTTTTTTTATGTTATTATTATTTATCATATGATTATAGTTTTCTGAGTTTTTTAGCCCAAGGAAAGAACCCTGATGAAAGAATAATGCTGTTATTTAATTTTACTGTAGTTTCTGACCAATTTATGTATTAGGAACTGTAGCTTAATGCAAAGAAATTGTACATTGATTATTTGGATGGGCTTGCTAGGATAGCTATTGACTGTCCTGTATTTGTTTTTTTTTTTTTTTTTTTTTCCAGATATTCAGCTCAAAGGAAGAACCAGATGGAGAAAACAAAGGAAGCAAATCCAAAGGGGAACAAGCCAAAGAACTGTTAGCAAAATATGGAGGAGCATATTTGGCCACTTCGATTACTCTGTCTTTGATCTCCTTCGGCCTTTGTTATGCACTGATTAATGCTGGAGTTGATGTTCCAGCTCTGTTGCAGAAGATCGGAATATCTACAAATGAGGCTGGAGAAAAAGTGGGTACTTTTGCTTTGGCTTATGCTGCTCACAAAGCTGCATCTCCTATAAGATTTCCTCCCACTGTTGCTCTTACACCCATTGTAGCTAGCTGGATTGGGAAGAAAGTTGATAAAGAGAACTGACTCGCAATTGGCTCGAGGATTGCGCTAGGCATTTTGCAGGGAATATGTATGTAGAATTTGTACTGCTCTAATACAAGTACATGGAACAAATTCGTAATTTATGGTATTGGTATCTATCTATCTATATATTATACTAAGGCAAAAACCAGATAGAGAAAACTAAAGGCATGGAACACATGTCACATATAATTAAATCTTATGTGGTATTTTTTTAATTTCTTAGACTTAAAAATGCACAAAACAAAATAATAAAAAAAAAAAAACAACTAAAATAATTATAAAAAAAACAAAATAATAAAAACAGAACCCTTATTTTCATGAACCAAATCCTAACATAGAGATTGATTGGAGAGAGTACCAAATCCTAATAAATTTTAGAGAGATCTGCATAAACCTTATTACCAGTGAATTTAAAATGTCATTTAAAAACAATAAATTCCTGTATATCCAGAGGTAATCATGTTTAAAGCAGAAATCATTACATATTTTATAAAAATACAAACTTTATGTAAAAATGTCTAAATATGTATGCCTTTCCCGTCCATCGGACGAGTCTAACACCTAGTAACATCTTATGCTCATTGGGTCTTAGTATCATCAATTTTTATGCAGTCTCATTCTAAGACATGGAAGCTAAAGACCAAAAGTATGGGTGAAATTGAATAGTAAGAATACTCTGCAACAAGAAAGAGATACAGCTACAATACAATGTGATTATGCTGGTAGAGAGATAACCTAGATTTATGGCGACATTATCAGGCACGATCTAAGTTAGAAATAATTTACACGAGCAACGTACGTAAAGTTCTTCCATTTGTTTATTGATATTACAGAGCAATCATTCTGTACAACGAACCAGCAGCTGTCAACTTATATTTACCAGCTTCTTTTATCTGGACTTCCCTCAAAGCTGGTTAGGAAGCCTGTGTCCTAATGATCTCGCGGCAACCACCAAGGCTGTCAAGAACCTAGATAGGGAAGGTAATTGGTTGAACTTCTGTACCAGAAGTGTTCCAGTATTTCCCTCAGTTGCCGCAAGGCCATTATTTTGAATCCATTGATGCACCATATTTTACATGCCTGAAGCATTTGTCGAAGAAGGCATCTCTGCCGTATGAGGGGGCGGCGTTTGTGCACGTGGAGTACTGACAGTGGCCATGGCATAGTTCTCTTGAATCGATCCTAAGTCACCCCAATCAACCCCTGCTATGGTAGAACCAAGAGTCCACAATCATTTTCTATCCATGGATAACAAAAGTAAATGAAAGCAGCTAAGGGGCTAGAAAAGGGATACCTTCAGTCCTCCACATGTCTGTGATGCTAACATCTGCATCTGACAAAAGCCAGTAATCTGCATCATTCTGCAGAAAAAAGAAGAAGAATATCATAGGAACATTATTTATGAATGAAGGGCATATTCATAGTCATCTCTTTGGATTTTTTTCCCATGAAAGTGGAAAAATACAGGTAATCGTTGCATCTTTGTGGATACTGATATATTAAATGATTAATGGTGGTGTTTAGATCAAATCATCAAATATTCAAGGGTGTGAGGTGATGAGGATTCTAAGGGCCCACTTATTCTAAAGCATGTAGACAAAGACAATAAGTTTCTCAATGAAGACTTACATCAACATCCGGAACAATTTTCATGATCCCACTCATGAAGTCCTGCGATGTTCCTATGTCCGAGCATATCCTATCATTTTGCCCTTCCATTGCGAGCACATTTCCTCCGGTCTCCTTGGATGTGGATGTCGTAGCTACATTCTCATTCAGACCAGATGTAGAAGGGATATCTGGATTGACATTCAAACCAGATGTAGAAGGGATATCTGAAGTATCATTCACACCAGATGTAGAAGGGATAGCTGGAGGTTCTTCGACAGCATTGACCTCCTCAAATTTCTCCTCAAATTGGCTTTGAAACACAAAAAAAGATATAACGCACATTTAGAAGAAAAACAAATTTAAAAATAACAGTCTGATTAAAATAACTGAAAGCCTAGAACAAAAGCACATCACAGGATATGCCCCAAAAGATCTGGGAACAAGAAAATATACCTGACAAGGTAAACATCTATGGGTCCCATGGTACTCCTCAAAACAATCCTGTATCTCCTTTGGGGATAATCAACAGCCTAGAGGAGAATAATATTGTCTTTTAATAAGTCATGAAAAAGTTGCCATAGTTACAAATTCAGATTCAAACGAAGAAAGTTTACCTCATCAGGATCAGGAACCTCCAAAGTGGTGCCATGAGGAGCCTTAATTGCTATTAAAGTTTCATTCTGAAAAGGCAAGGCAAGTAGCATTAAGGAAGAACTCAATATGGACAATATTCAAGTTAAGTTCTCAATGTATAGAATCAATCTACCTGGAAGCAGGGTATACTCTTAATGTCTTCTTCAGTGACGAAAAGCCATCTGGCAAAATGAATTTAAAGCATAACAGAACCAAGAGAATAAGTAACTAAATTCAATGACCTTCTGTAAATTGAATGGGAAAGAAATTTGTGGTTTGGGAAGAAACATGACATTACTTTTGATTATTTTCCTCTTCACTCAGGTCCCTTAACCTTTCCTGCATTTCTCTGTTACAGGAAACATTCAATTAGTATTAACAAAGTCCACGTGAAACCTTGAGATATTTATTTCATTTCTACATGGAGATGTCAAAAAATATACCTTATTTGTTCATCTAATCTACGCTCTTCCATGGACAAGTTCTCTATATCCGCCTGCAAAGTAAAGATACATTCAGCTAACTAATCCAGAACCATCTAAGCATACCACATCTGTTTCCCTCTTCGGAATTGCTGAATCTAAATAATGCATACAGCCAAACCAACCAACCAGAGGTCCACAATTCTTTGGGTCACCTAAGAAATATGTTTCATACTTTGCTACTCAAGACACGGATTCTTTTCCAGATTATAGCACAGTTATACCTCTAGCAAAGAGTAACCAAGAGCACTACTTCACGCCCTACTACTACAGAAGAATCATCAGAAAATGAAACAGCAAAGAGTCAAAACAAATAACGTTAAAATTTACCTTCAAAAAAGAAAAACAAAACCATAAAGTTTAGTTTTTTCCCACTTAAAGCAAAAATATATTTTGTAACAATCCAAATATGGACTTTTCTGGAGTTAGTCTCCGATGATAGGGAAGATTATACTGAACCCTGGATAATCACCAATCACATGATTCGACAAGATTTTCATGAGTTCAGATTAAATCGGAGGATATGAAAGTATCATATTTCTGATGACAATTCAAAGCATACCGTTCTTGTATATAAGCACTATGCACAGACCAAGGCTACTTTTTCACATACTAATGAGGCAATAGGTAAACTAGAAGCATGGCGAATGAGGAATGTATAAAGTCCAATGGGAATTAGAATGGCAAATTCATCTGGCATCACGACTGTTTATATTGAGAAATACAATATTCTTCTTTCTACAGGAACCATTCATATTGCAAATGCATCTTTCTCAGGATGAGAATAGCATTAAAAATGAGAGGGACAAGGAGCGTTGCTCCATACCAACCTGTAGGCTAGCAACACTTTCATCAGCTTCCCCAGGCCTCGCTACATCAAGACCCCTAAACAATGAGCAGTTTCATCAGTGCATAGTTCCAAGAGATAAATACTTCAAAGGAGAAAGATTAATTTCAGCTAAGACCATACTTCCACTGAATTCTGTTCTTGAGCTTTTTTTCGATAAGACCAATGCCTTCAAGAACATTTGTAATGTCATATATACGCCTCTTCTGAACCTGTAGTGACAGAGCCCGTTCAGCAACAGAACACAAGAAAAATGAGCAAAAATTAAAATTGTAAAATACTTACATCTAGTGTGTCAGCAGCCTTATTCAGATCAAGTATCCCATCTTCAGCATGCTTGATCAAATTTATGAACTTTTTTGTCAAGAGACCTGAATAATTCAAAGCAAATTTCCTCATTTATCTCTAGAAACTTAACCTTCTATCTGAATTTGATTGAACAGCATTATCACCTAACTAAATCAAAACTATATAGAAATAGACTGCAATAAAGGACCTAAGCTAATCCGACAGATTGACAGACAGTCAAAACTAAAGAGACTTTAAAAAAATAGATAGTTACCAAGGGAGCTGTCGTAGCGACATGGACCAACTGGGGTGAGATGATTGCCTGGGGAACCTTCAAATGTCAAAGAGGGCAACATGGTTAACTTCAGCTTCAGGTTTTCCAGTTTTGCAGCCATTGCGCATCAAACTAGTAGTGAACAAAACAAAAGAGCAGTATTCAATAATTCCAAACTGACCCTCACCAACATTTGTGCCAGGAGTTTGAGATCCAGCTCTATTAGCCTTGGTTGTCCTTGGTGCTTTTTGCGCTTTTCCAACTTTTCCCGAAGCAGGTGTCTTCGTGGAATTGTTTGCGGGGTCTGAAGGGTTCTGATTGTTAACATCAGCTTCAACATTTGCCATTTCACTTTTTCTTTTGGCAGGCTGCAAGCCACAGTCATTTAACTCAGTATCATAAATTGACTACATCAAGATAATGTATAACCTAATACAAGCATATGAGCATTATATGTACTTGGTTACTAAAAAAACTTAAGAAGTCATTAAGAGATAGACGGTGGACAATGCCTTACAACATGGTTTATAACTTCTTTGGAATAACTTGAGAACCCAACATTGTCAGATAAATTAAGCACCAAATCAAATCCTTTTACAACTTTGATGGAACTGCTAAAATGACCTAGTTGGAAGTGCATCTATATGTTAGTAATGTCATTTCTTTAAAGAAACCCACAATATAAACGGATCTCATAGAAAAACTTGAATCGTCTAAAATGCTGAAAGAAACCAAGCCTAAAGCCCTGAAAGTAATCACTGGAGCTTTTAAAATTTATATAAAAGGTAAGAAAAGGAGCCATAAAAAATTCCAAACGTATAACAAGACACCAACATTAAAAGAGTCAATCAGTTGTGCTATTTCTTTCACATCACGACTTCAGTTCCTCATCTACGACCTAGTAATACAAATTACTTAATCTGTCCAAGACCCCCGCCTCCTAACAATGCTGTTTTCCCCCTTAATTATTGTACGAACTGTTTATATTTTTCTTCAATTATCTGTCTCATTACTGTTTTATTACTGAAAAAAGAAGAGAAATTACATGACATTCTCATGAGTAATCCATCACCATAATCTTAGCAACAAAAAATATCAAAGCTGCTAATTGCCTCCACAGGTCCAAAGTTTAATAGTTCATTCCAGATTACTTAAATCAATACAAAGATTCATAGCTGAAACAACAGGGAGCTAACACATGAAGATTTTCAAGCAATACCAGGATATTTATATCAAGTTACGCACTTCAGATGTCCAGAACCATTGCAAATTTGCATACCAATGATTAACTGCAGTGAATAGAGCTGATACCCTCTTAAGTTTAGACCTTATGCTGTTATGCAGATACTTCCAAAACTCAAAAATCTTTCAAAAGTAACAACTTTAATTTACTTAAGTTTTCAACCAACATAATATCCAGGCAACCAAATCTCCTACATCTGTTGTTTCTTATCAGGAGGATTACTATATCATTGTGTTTGGTTCCTGGTGCGACATAATCTCATGTAGAGCTTCATAATCCAATAACAGCCAAAAAGTTAACGGAATCCCTCCAAAATTGATTCAAGTCCAAAAAGTTAACATAATCCCTCCAAAATTTGATTAAAAAGGGCAAAAGAGTCTACTATCATAAACTCGAATCCTCCATTAATCTTCCACCCACGAAATTTTACACAAATCAAGACAAATTTTATCAAACCGGGTACCAAGCTTCACCCAGAATCGCTAAATTCATGCTCCAGCATCCGGGGACAAAAAAGGGGCAAATTAAACTCTCGGGTCAAAAGAGTAAGAAACTACGGTAAATCAACTTCCTACAAGATCACAAACTTCAAACGTTGAGGCCAATAAAGTCGAAATCTTCACAGCCTCACCTCTACCCAGTGTCAAACGTTCACACAGATCTCATATATCGTAAAAATCAAACTTCAATTACAGAAATTTCTCAACATCCGATAAGCTAAAAAAATAAAAATACACACTTTTAAAGTCTAAAAAAAACCTAACCAAGGAGAGTTACTCACCGGAGGTGGGGGGGTTTTGACTACGATAGCTTCAGGCTCGCGAGGCCGATGAGGGTCTTCGGAGAAGTGATGATAGTCAGCAAACGGCGGCTTCATCGCCGTGAATGGAAGCTGCCGATTCAAGGCCTGCTGCTGCTGTTGCTGCATGATCTGCTGTCTCTTTACCAAGTAAAAAGATTAAATTTTTTTCCAATTTTCTTCTGGAACAATTTTTTTCCCCCAGAAACAGTGGTAAAATTGGAGGGAAAATTGGAGCTGGAAAAAGGGGAGAGAAAGCAAAGAGGGGAATTGGGTCGGAAGGAATTGAGGTGATCTGAAAAGGGTCGGCGGTGGCCGGAAGGAAGAACGGCGGTGGGCGGTGGGGGCGGAGGAGATCTGAAGAGATAGGTGGAGGGAATAAAAAAGCGGGAAGAGAGAGAAGGGCAAAAGAGGGGAGAAAACGAGGGAAGAAGAGAAGAGGGGTGGAAGGAGGGAAATTGGTTCGGATATAGATATGGAGGGAACAAAACCAATATGTGTTTTATTCTATATTTATATTTAATTAATAATTAATATAATTAGTTTTTATTATTTAATTATTGTACTCGAGGAAACTGATAGTCAGTCTGATACAATGGATAATTGTTTCTGAAATATTAATTTATTTTGATAGTAAGAAAAAGGGCTATCTGAATTAAATTGATTAAACCTTTCTTGGTTGTTGTTGCCATGGGCAAAGCAATTGTTAATTGTTGAATTGAGAGAATTTGCTTCTCGGTGGCTTTACCTTTTTCTTTTTTGGCTTACTGCCCGCTGACATTATCCAGTTTTAAATAAGAGAATGATAGTCCCTTCATAAACATATAAAACTTCGAAATTATTTCCCTGATACCGAATGCATAATATACTAAAAAACGAATATCTAAAACTGTATTCGTTAGTTTTTTTTATCGACAGTGAGAAGGGCATCATATATAACCACCGTGTTTGTGCTTCAATTTTAACTGGATTTGTTATTGCGAATGTATGTGATTAGAAGCATGTGTAGGTCATCGAGAACGTCATAAACGACGTATTGGGGGAGAAGAGGATGAGTGATGCTCAATTTGGTGCTATTGGATTGATTTCCAGAGATTTTTCTTTTATTATTTCTTTTGCAAAGTTCTTAGCTTATAATCGTCCTGCACATTGATTCAAATTGCCATATGTTTTTTTTTTTTTTTGCTATATGTTTATTTCTACGATAAATAAAAGCGATCAAATAAAGATAAGCTATAAAAAAAAGAAAGATTGATTTTATTTAACCGTATCGTAAATTTTAGTTTTTTACTTTTACTGTACTCAAACACAGCAAGAAATTTTAATCTTTCTTCATAAAAAATAAAATAGCTTGCAAGGTTAGCATATTGTGTTAATTGTCAATGCACAGTCTACAAAAAGAAAAACTTCTATTTTAGAAAAAAGTTAACTCATTACAAGTTGTGAATTGTACTATATATTTAGAGTATTCAGAAATTTCAATGTGTAATGTTTTTATGTAGTCCAAAAAGTAGAAAAAATATAAACACACACGAGCCCACGAAAAATTCACGAATAATAAGTGAAAGAAACTAAGTAATATTTTAAAAAAAATTTTAATCGTGAGATCAGGATTCAGGAGAGAGTATTAATCTTAGTATCAAATCCTAAAACGTAAGAATTAAGAAGATTTCTGTACGCAAAATGCATAAATACAATTAAAGAAATTGACAACGAAATATGATGCTATAAGAACTTCTAGTAGAATTCCAGGTTGAGTTTGTCTGACCGCAAAAGAGTCATAAATCGGCCACCTTTCGAAACGGCAATTCGCGCCTTATAGTACCTTCGGTGCTACGGTTTAATTTCTTAAACTGCTGAGTTGTCTGATTCTGATTGGTTCACAATCCAATGTGCGCCTACCCAAAATAAAGATTATCAAGTGCATTATCTAAACATCACTATCAAAGTCCAGGCCCAGATTTATTGATTGGACTTGACCATGAACTTTAAATCAAATTTGGGCTGAGATATTATCTCACGAAGGATTGGGTCATGAGTAGCCCATTTGACAACGTTCTCTTTTATTTTTTTTCTTTAACTTTAAGAGATAAGAATAATTTTGTATTATGAAATTTTGAAAAATTGATACACAAAATAGTGGCTATGTGATTCGTGAGATTAATAATAAGCAATATTCCTAGGATAATTTGTGTCACCCTAGATTTTAATATTAGCTAATTGGTTCTCTTGTATCATTTTTAGAACAAAAAGAAAAGATATGCATTTTTATGGCCCAGTAATATTTGTATTTCCGGTCTCTAGTCAGGTACAAGTGTCATTAAAACATCATGCTCTACAATTAGTTTTCTGGGCAACAAATAACATATCCATCTATTCATTAAGCATGGAGTCTAGAAATATGTTATCAACCAATGGAAAAGGAGATTAAAAATATTTTCTACATACATTATATAACAGAAAGGATCACCTAGTATAGAACAGAAGGAATACATACCCATTTTCTAACCAATATGCATCTCTAGAAGTGCAGCACATTGACTACAATATTAACCTTACCAAGTCCAAACAGGTTGTGTTCATATACGCAATGCCCGTACAAGAAAAGGGAATCTGTTTAGCTTCTTTGTTTCAGCCATTTCTGGGATAAACACAAACCAAACTCATTTCAACAAATGCGAAAGATCAGGGTCATCTAGGTCCAAATCTAACCACCCATTCAAGCGCATGTACTCAATATAATGATCTGGAGGTTTAATTGCCTTTGGATTTCTAGGAGCAAACCCATGAATTCTCTCAAGATCTCGGAAAAGCCAACGGACATATGATTGATCTAAAGGAGGTACTATCTTCAACAGCACTGTTTCCTTATCTTTTTGTGGCCTTGCAGGTTTGTTTCCCATGATTCACCTGCTCAAAGACAACTGCCAATGAAATGAGAGGAGGGGGAGGAGAAAGAAAGAAGCAGCAGCATGCTCCCCAAACAAAATAACAAAAGGCATGCCCTCATATGCACGATATTAATATATGAAAACCAACGATGCTTCTATTAGGGATGAAAAAAATAACTGTTATCAAACATTTAAAAAGCAAAATTCCTCCATCAAAATTTTTGTTCCTTTCCCAATATCAAAAGAGAGCAGATACCACAAGAGTTTAACCCTCTAAACACACGAATCTACAACCTAGCTTAAAAAGAATTTGTAAGAGATGTACAGATAACATTTCTAACCAATGTGGTGCTGTTTAAACTTTAAACTCTTCATGCTAGTTCACAAAAATTCACTCTACCAATTGCAACAGAAACATTAGACCGCAATGCCAATTTAAATTTCAGAATAAAAGGTAACTTGGTTAATTAAACAAAAGTAACAAAAAATCTAAGTTAATAATGTGCAGAAATCAGCTTCCCAAAATTCCATTCAAAGGTCAAATAACCTAATCACCCACATTACACGTCAAACGATCCCATAATAATAGGAGGATGTTTATACCTTGCATCTAGGTTCATGGAATTCTCTACCCAAAGGAATAAAGTCAAAGATTTTTAGGAAAAAGATTCTCATATTACATTTATGACTAAAGAGCATTTAGAATTGCTTAGGTGTGTTCCTAAAGATGTGGAAGGGGTTGCCAAGCACCCCTGGGGAGTATGTTCTTTTCTTTTAAATCACAGACTTCAGACTTGAGAAGATAGCAATCACCTGAACTGGATTGGAAAATGAGGGGTAAGAAGGACTCTTAAGATACCCAACTACGAACCAAGAAGAGTAAGATGCATCATTGCTTAACCAAAAGAAGGGCATGCGAGACCACAGAGTCTTTGGGCCTAATATGCCTCCCCCTAATTCTGTTCTCAATCACTGGCTGTACAATCTTGACATTTCAAGTACTCTCAACGAGGTCACAAACTAGAAATTGCAAAAGTTGACTGTAAAGTCCGATTACTAATCTGAACTGAGTCAATAACCACTCGAATTCTTCAAGAGGCAGACTCTTCTAATAATGAAAATAAGAAAAGAAAACTTTCCAGAATCTAATGAGAGGCCCGCAAGAGAAAGTACGAGACATGTTCAATTAAATTAATCCCAACTCGTTAAAGACAATAACTACCCCACAGTTATGCCAATCTAATAATGTCTAACATAGTCCAAAATTAAGTTTGAGTTACCATCAAGCATAAGATTGACAAATTAAACCAGCAAAGAGTAAACAGTTTTTAAGCAAGAAAGGATTAGCCGGGAGATACAATCTCAGGCCCTCAAATAACATGACACTAAGTCTCATCACCAGAAAGAGGCAAAATCAGTCAAAATCCATTTCGCAGATCCAACAGCTGTATTCTGTTTCACAAGTTTTCCTATTCACTTAATTTAAGCATAAATTTCATCATAGGCTCAACCATCGCCAAACTTTGCATTTTAAAAAATCGCACCTCTTACAATTCTGTATCACTTTCTAGCAATTTCATGTTAAATTGTTACCACCACATCCAAAACCTTTTAAACTATGTACTCCGAAAGAGAACTGCAGCAGCCTTGAGTATCTTACAATTCTTTTAACATATTCATAACTGAAACAAAAGAAAATCTATGAATGGAAGAAAGGTTTCAAAAACAAGTGGATAAGGAAAGATTAGAGACAGTGGGATTCATCTTTTCGAAAACTACAACTGAACTTCTTGAATCGGAAGAGTGTAAATGAAACAATATCAACAATCAATACATCTGCATCTCTTTCTAAGTAATCAATGGCGGAGGGAAAAATAGGAAATTGATGTTCATCAAGTTCATATCTTTCCCAATTCAACAATTATTACAGCACAGAAATATCTTCAAAAAAAACAAATTAGATAAAAGAATCAACCAGCAATTGAAACTGCCTACATCGAAAGGATTTCGACACTTACATAGGATTTTGTGTGAATGGTTTCTAGCTCTCTGCCGAGTAGACAAGATAAACTTGTGGCTGTGCAGGGGAATTACCAAGAGAAAGAGCTTCTGTAATGTTTACCCACTACAGATCCGAACATTGAAATTGAAAAGGACCTTTTGATAACTATGGATTAATAGGGGGGCTCAAAACTGCAACTTAAGTTTGGAAATATTTTCTGTGGAGGGAGTTTTAAAGAAAAACCCCATTTGTTTTCCCCTTTTCTTTTCCTTTTCTTTTTTTTCCATATTCTTACTAATTAACTTTTGGGAAATGAAAAAGTTTGAATAAATTTTTTTTTAATGTTTTTACTGGCAAGTAAATTTTTTATTTTCTACTTAAATTTTAGGTGTGGAAGGTATCGTTTTTCAATTATTAGAAAAAAAACACATATAGAATACGATCCCTGGACTTTTTTTAAAAAAAAAAAAAAAAATTAATGCTTTTGTCCCCATCTGTCTGTATTTTTTAACCGTAAAATAAATTTTTATAAGTGATGATACATACCAAAAAAAATTGATAAATTTACAAAGAATGATGTGGTTGAATCTTAACTATCCCCTAAACATTAGATAAATCTCTAAAGTTAATATGTATATATGGACAGTGATAATTCATACTTGTTAAAATATCTTACGAAATTTCCCTAAACAAATTATTATCTGTTATTATTCTTCTTTTATATGATTATTGACAATTATATAAACACCCCTAAACCTGAGCATTTTAGTGATGCTAAATTCCGACGCTCTTTCGGATTGCCACTCCCGGATAGGGATAGGTGAATTTGGATCTATAGAGTTCCCACCCCGCAGATGTAGTAGGCGTTGCAAACCGGACGACTCGGTTTCGGAAGATACGTAAAGTTATACTTCTTTCTTTGTGCCTCAGTTTCTTCTTATCAATTATGCTCCACCTATTTGTTAATGAATGGAATCCCTTTTTTCTTTTGAATAACTCAACCCTTCTACGTTCCCGAAATAGATCCTATCAATATTTTACATTTTCTATGATCATCTCTATTTCAGGTATTCGGGGAATCCTCCTTAATAGACGAAATATTCCTATTATTTCACTCTTTGATAGCATTTTTTCTTCTTCTTCTTCTTCTTCTTCTTCTTTTTTTAATCAATTTTCTTAAATTCTTCAATTTAATGTAAAAAAAGAGTCACCGATTGTTGACAGTTTTCAATGGCAGAAAATCTAAAAACACGAAAAACATGCGAAAACAAAGAATCGGCATTGCAACATATATTTTTGTGGGCAGTTTTTTTTAAAGAGGGGATGATCACCACTGTTGTCTGCTTGATGATTGTGGTAGCTTGTTGCATTATAGCAATATATATTACGCTTCATCTCGTCAACGAGAAGTCTTTTTTCAATCTTTTGGGTCTAAGTATTTGTAAGCTTGAGTTTCTAGACGATTATTTTTTAAAGGGGATGGCAATAAGGCTAGAATAAAGTTAGAAAAAATTTGTACGGGTTCGCAAGGATATTGAAGATTCTGAAAGAATACATTAATCCCCTGAATGATTCAAAAATAGGCTGCATCATTCGGATTGTAAAAGTGGAAATGAAAAAAAAAAAAAAGAGGGAAAGGGGAAGATTGATGAGTGTCAACTTTACATGTTTATAGTAACAATTAGATAATTATAAGTAATTTTCAAAAATAGACAAAAATACAAATTTCAATAATTGGACTTAAATGTAATTTAGGGAGACAAAATAGAGCACTTCTGCTCTCAGCCGTTTCCAGGAGGCAATTTTGGGACTATTTCCTTGGCCTGAAATCTTATCAAAATAGAGCAAACCGTAGCGGCCAAGGAAGAGACAATCTATGTGGCCTTGTGGTCCAGAAGATCAACGAAAGATCTATGAATATGTAGCTGAAATCATAGCCTGAAGAGCCAAGCACAAAACGGACGTTGCTGATGAATCTGATAACTGGTGTACGTGGCTGCATCCCAACGATGAGTCAAGTTGTTGCCGTTCTATAAAAGGAGGAAACGATGCACATTTTCACATAGTAGAGTAGGGAGAACAGTTTTGTATAGAGAGTTTAGGGTTTAGTTGATTAGAGGGTTAGAAGAGAACTCTGCAACATGGTGTCCATCAGAGAGAGGTACTTAGCAGAGTAGTATTCTAACTCGCTTGAGTGGTTTGTTGTTTTGCACAAAACTTGTATCTTTAGCTTTCTATATGCTCTCTCTTGCCTTGTAATCATGTTTTATGCTCTATATGGATTTTGTGTTTAAAATATTGATTATGAATAGCTAAGTCTTTTGATGGGGTTCAATCTCTCTTTCTATGTGAAAATATTTAGGGCTTGTATTAACAATGGTTTGTTTTAGTTTTTTGTTTGAGTTTGAGATGTGAGTTAAAATGTATTTTGAGAGAAAATTAAAAAAGTTGTTTGGGTAATATTTTAAATAAAATAATAATATTTTTACACCACCACCGGACCACTTCCACCACCGGCGCTGCCGTCGGACCACTCACCACTGCCGTCGGACTGCCGCCGGCCGGTCGCTAGCTGGATTCTGGCCAAATTCCGGCCAACTCGCCAGAATAAAGCTGGCCGGCCGGCGACGGTAGTAGGCGGTTTGGCAGCGGACGGTGGCGCCGGACAATGGTCCGGTGGTTGAATGGAGGATTAAATAGATGAAAAAAACTCTGACCGGACCCCATATGAAAAAAACTCGGATGAATTTTATAAAGAGGGTTGGCAAGCAGATTCTGCAGATTCAGTGGAACCTCTCTCTGACTGGAATCAAAGTTCCAACTTCCAAGTCCAAGGTATAAATCTATCTGTTGGCTTTTTGTTTAGTTGGTTTTGGGGGAGAGAGAAGAGTAATGGAAGTCTTTTTGAAAAGATAGGCTTCTTCGCTTGGTTTGATACTTTGATTGGTTGGTTTTATTAAATACTGATGGTAAGTTGGTAACATATGACTGGCTGGGAGTGGGAAACTGGCTAATTTATGCATATATTTGCGTGTGAATTCAGTCCATGTCTCATGTGTGAATGCAATTCTTATATGGTGCACCATGATTTAACATACACGGTGGTCTAATTAATGAAATTTATTTAACGAATAAATAATTAATGAAGATTTTACTAGTATTAAATTATTCAATTTTCTTTCCATGTTTAAGATCAGTTATCATATATTCAAGCCAACGTAATTACAAACAAAATTCAAAAAACAAAAAAAAAAATATTGATAAACTCATATAATCTTATTCATACAAAAACTAAAGGTTCATAATCATACAATGAAAAATTTATGAATGATGATCATATCTTTCATATCAAATATATACATATATATATATATAATTCATAGCTTTTGATTGAAAATTGTACACATAACCTAAAATTAAAGGTTTTCATCTATTTAATCCTCCATTCATACATTTACTATGATTGTTCATAAAGATTATGTGAAATGTTCATACAAATCAGAAAATACCTAGTTAGTACGAGACAATCAATAAGATTCTAACTTTTGATGACATGATAGGATTTAAACATTTTACTCGGAAGAGATCTTTTTAATCGCTAGAGGGACTCCCTTAAAAACATCGACAAAGACTTAGGGGTATATTATCGTCTGGTCGAACAAACTTCGTACTACATAGATACATAATCACTGTAGAAGTAACATAGGAAGAGAATAAGATCCCTAGGATCTTTAACTCTACTTAATCTTTTGTTCTCTTGCTAAAATTATTGCCTTGTATGCTCGTATTTGCATTCATGCTTTGTTTTACTGTTTAAAGTTTAAACTAGGTTTAGAAGATACCTAATTAGCACGAGACAATTAATACGTCTTTAGCTTTTAATGGCATGATAGGATTTAAAAACTTTACTCATAAGAGAGCTTTTTAAACATTAGAGAGACCCCCTTAAGAACATCGACAGAGACTTAGGGTATATTAGCATCTGATCGAACAAATTTCGTACGACATGGATACATAATCACTGTAGAAGTATCATAGGAAGAGAAGAGGATCCCTAGGCTATTTAACTATGTTTAATCTCTTGTTCTCTTGCTAAAATCGTTGCCTTACTGCTCTATATGCTCGTATTCGCATTCATGCTCTATTTTACTGCTTTTTATGCATTAGTCTTTATAGGAAAATAACCACTCACATGAGTGCTGACAACACTCGCGTGAGTCAACTAAATCTAGTTTTCCAGATTTTTTAGTTTAGTCTTGCTTGTGTGCTGAACGATTTTTTGGTGGTTTTGGCCTCCTTGTGGGATTGACGCAGCTTATCAATATCTACTAGTTTTAAGGTGGTAAATATTAATTTTTCTAGGGGTTCCAACAGCCTGCTCTGAGAGCACACCAAAGATCTAGTGTTATTTAAATCTTTTTCGTAAGATGTACGAAGTAAAATCAAACTGTGTTTGGCAATACCCAATTCAAGGATAGCACTCCATTAATTGCACTATTTATTTGATTGAGCACGAATAACTTTAACCTTCAACAAATAACAGTTCAACCACAATATAGGTAACATTGAGGTTGTTTATCTTTGCGGTTTTCGGTGTTTCTATCATTGAATATGTTGTAAAGTTTTAGTGGTGTGAATATATCTATATATTAATACAAAATGGTTTTTTCATACGTAGCGTTTAATTAGAAGTTCGGTCAAAATATATAAAAAGGATTAATTATTACCTCTCCGTATTAACAAGTTTCTAATTTTCCTTAAGATTTAAAAAAATCCCAACTAAATAGATTCATCAGGTAAAACAGAAGATATGACTAGTTATATAAGATTTTGTTTCATTTTTTAAAATGGTGGTGGTGGTTGTATGGGTTGTTTACAAGTGTAGGTGGTGCAGGTTATATGGTATGCAGTAAGTTTGTGGAGGGTTGTGATGTATATTTTAATTAATAAAGGGCCCTTGTGTAATGTTTTAAGGATACGTGGTTAATTATAAGTGTAATTCTTTTACTAATGTTTTACCATTTTTTTTAATTAAACCAGACGAGAGCCTGGAAAATTTATAGATAACCAGAAATATTTTTCAGGGTTGTGCTTAAGACTTACCCTGTACAAGAGACCGCCAAAAAAATGAAGATTTAAATATCAGTAAATGTACTGATACTTTCAAAAAGACCTAATTGGACCTGTACAAAATTATGTCTAATGTTTGGTAATTTTCAAGACTTTTCAGAACTAATTTTCTA